AGGTGTGCACAGAGCTGGGAGCAGATCCACAGGTGTGGGGCCAAAAGAACAGCAAAGAAAGGCAAGTGGCTGTAAAATGAGAGTGAAAAGAGCAGGTGGGAAGGGGAGAAGGGATTGAAGAGGCCAGAGGCTGATTTCTAGCCTGCCCAGTGGTTTTTTCCTCATCTAACCCTCAGTTTTTCGGGCAGGACTTGTATGTCCTGCCTGCAAAAGCTGTTCCATGAATTCCCAGTGGGAAGGCAAGGCTGAGTGTCGTGGTGTGGGTGGAATTGCTTGCTGGAATTACCAGAATTGCCAGAGCACTTACACAGCCAGGGAGCCTTAAAGGAGGAGGCAGGAGGAGGTGGAGATCTGGCACCTTATCCCAGAACTGCTGAGGTTTCTCTGCAAGGCCCTTCATTCCCAGCAGGGCTTTGCCCTGAGAAATCCACAAATCCATAGAGGGATTTGCAAGGCTGGAAGGACAGAGGAGGCTGGGATTGGGTTTGGAGCAACCTGCTGGGATGAAGGGGAATGAGAAACCTCCTCTCCAGGGGACTCTGTACATCATCTGTGTGATCAGCAGCACCAAGCCCAGCTCTGGCTCCCATAGAGGGGTCTGGGATTATCCCAAATGCCACTCCAGGCCATAACCACCAGGTTGGAAGCACACACAGAAGAGGAGACACACAGAATATTTACCATTGTGAATAAATGAGGAAGAGGATGGTCATGGGAGGCCAGGCACAGGATCTTGGAAGTCATCCTGAGGACTTTCCTGGGGTATTTGCCAGATCCAGAGGGTGATTCCACATCAGTGGGGGCCAGGAGCAGAGCAGTGGGAGCTGTGCCAGGCACATTGCAATGAGGATTCTGGCAGGGTGGAAACGGTGCAGAAAAAAATGGTATAACTTTTGTTTGAGAACCAGCAAAAAAATGCCTTCTGGGGAGACGTTACAGAGCTCCTGGGTTTGTCAGCCAGACCTGTGAGAGGTGATTTGGTCACAGCTCAGTGCAAAGGGGCTGTTTAGGAGCAAACAGGGTGGCAAAGCTGAGGGTTTTCAGATACAACATGACAGAGACTCACAAGCCTGACTGCTGGACCAGGAGAAGGCGATTCACCCCCTCTCCTGGCCAAATCCAGGCATTTGTCCTGAAAATACAGCAGTTGGAAATAACATCCTTGGATCAGCACTGTTCAGAAGTTGCAAGAGATGATCTGTGGTCTCTGCCACCCTTGCTGGGTGGGTTTGGCACTGGCTGGGACAACCCACCTGCAGGGACAAGGCATAAAAGCCCCCTCCCCTGCCTGGACCAGAGCCTCCCCACCCTCATCTGCCCTCTGCAAGGACATTCCCAGGAAATACTTCCCAATTTCTCATCTCTTTGTAGTCCAGGGACCTCTGCCCTCCCTCATCCTGCTCCTTGCTGTGTCCAACAGCCAGTGTGGACACCCAGCCTTCTGCTCAACAGATCCCTGAGAAAAGGCTCCAAGTTTGTCAATGAAATGATGGATCAAGTCAAAAACTTCCTCTTGCTGATGAGCAGCGATGAGACCCCTCTGGCAGGGGCAGGGGGGCAGTGCCCAGCACCTCACCCCTGGACTTTCCAGCTCTGCCCACTCCCTGTGCCAGCGTTAGTCCCCCTCTGCTTCCTCATTTGCCTTCTCTGAGCTTCCTGGGAGATGTCCATCCCAGGCTCAACCTCGACAGCATCCTTTGGGATGTTCTTCTCACCCTCATCACCCCTGGCAGCTTAACAGCACTGGGAATGTCGCTGCCATGCGGGGCTCGGGGTCGTTAATCGGCTGTAAAGGAGGAGCAGCCGCGCCGGCAAACAGCTGCTGCCTCTGCACTCCCCGTCCTGGCCCCATCCCGGCCCCTCACATCTAGCACAGCCTGACCTGCTGAATTTCGGGATCCTGTGCCCTTGCTCCTCGGTTTCCCACCGTGTCCCTCTCTGCCGGATCATTCCTGGCCCCGGAGTGCCAGCGGGACCCTCCTTCCTCCCCCAAACGCTGCTGCCTTTGTCGTTCTCCAGCCATCTGTGACCTCAGCGGCTCGCCGTGCTTTTCACAAATAATTATTCATGCATCTCTAAATTCATTAACACCTTAGGATACGCGTCACGCCGGCTGATTTGCATATGTTCACATCGCCTCAGCGCCGCTCCCCACGCTCCTGTTCTGCCAGGCAGTGCCTACAGGCAAGGAAAAGGCTGCCAGCTCTGGTGGCTGGAGGCAAAAGAGCCCGATAAAGGGTCTGATCCTGGGAAAAACAAATCACAAGAGCAGCGTTCTCCCTCCTGCCGGGATGCTCTGTGTCAGCCTGGCTGAGCCCGAGCTGGGAGGAGAGGGATGAGGAGCATCCTCAGCCCTGGCGTGGCGTCACAGCCTCTGTTACCATGGCTGGGTTCATTCCTGGCTGATTGGACCCTCTGCATTTCCCCACCTGTGAAACGAGGCTGGGGATCCCAGAGGAGCCACCTCCAGTGCCTGGAGCAATCAGAGACAATCCCCAAGTGACGGACAGGCAGGAGCATTCCAAGTCAAAAGGGTGACCGAGGCATCACCTCTGGTTCATATTTGGGGTGGAACAATGCAAATAACCAATCCAGAGACAGGTTGATCTTTTCCTTGCTCTCCTTTCATTCCTGTCTCCTGAAGCCCATCCCGCTGCTCTGAGGGCTGTTCCCAGTTTGTTCACAGCCATCACAGGTGATCAAAACCAGACACTTCTTCCAACCAGGAGCTCAGCTCAGTTCCCTGCAGAAGAGAAAAACTCAAAGAAGCAGAATTCCCATTCAGGGTGAGGCTCATCCCACCTCCAGCCCAGCAGACACGGCATCCCTTTCTCTGCCTTTCTCCCTGAAAAATGCTCCACATGCCCAGAGGCCGGTGCCACCACAGCCCTGGGAAGCACCAGCAACCTCCAAGCTGGCAGATCCAGGTCTGGATCAGAGCCAGGCTGCACCTCCACGACATCCAGCCTCACCTGGGAGGTCCAGGACACATCCCTGCTGTGCAGCCAACCCCTTCCAGTGGCACCAGCCCATCCGAAAGCAACATTTTGGGGAGGGGTGGAGTGAGGTGATGCAGCTTCAGCTGGGATGGGCAGCACACACCCATGGTGGGAGTTCACATCACCAGGCAACCGAGGCCGGAGCTGCTCTTTGAAGGTGATAAAGCCTTGTCCAGCTGGGAGTTCCCAGGAGTTTGTTTTTTTATTCATGGGCTTGTCTCCTCCCTGCTGGGAGCAGAGGAAGCCACTGTTTGGGAATCATCTCCAACATCCCTCACCCTGGCAGGGTCTGACCCACACCAGTGCTGCCAGTGGCATCCCATTGCCCAACTAGCAGGAAATACTGTAAGGAAATATTGTCACCCGGAGCGAGGGGTGGGGAGACACGTCGAGCCTGCCAGTCTGGGGGCTGCTCAGGGACCCAGAGCAGCACTTTACAGAACATATTGTGTCCTCAAATGAGAGCCAAGAATTTAGTATCCTGCTGGATTCGCCATCCCAGCTGCAAGTGGCTTCAGCTGGTGGTGTGAAGTGCATCCCTCAGCCACCCTGATCCAGGAGGGACCGGCGAGGTTTGGGCGTTACACCTCGATGCCCAGCTAGCTCGGGGATGGTGAAGGCTGCTGGCGCCCGGCACTGCCAAGCAGGATTAAGTCCTGGCACGAAATTCCCGGGATTGGAATGTTGCTGGCAGGAGGGGAATGGCGGGCACGCGGCTCTAACAGGCGGGTGCATCCCCAGCCAGGTGCAGGGCAGCGCCGAGGAGCACATTGGTGCTGTCACCGGCTGGAGAAAGCCACGGCTCCGGGAAAAATAGCCCGGGCACGACGCTGGAGCATCCCGTGCCAGCGCACTTGGTCATTCCTGCTCTTTTTCCATGCATTTCCCGCTCTCCCTTCGTAATGCCATTAATACTGGTGACGAAGTGAACTTCAGTCAACTTTCCTTCCCTCCCGGTGTTTACCCAGCGGCGGCAAAGGGGAAGCGACGCTAATGAGCATCTCAGCACCTGCTAATTAACGCCGTAAGGTCGCATCGGGGCTGAGCCGCCACGCAGGTTTAACAAAGGTCACGTTAATGACCGGCTGTAGTGGGGGAGTTGGCGATTCAGTGATGAGATGGCAGTTTATGGGGGCTCCCTGCAGCCCCCAAAGCCACGGGGTGCGGCCGGACCCTGAGCATCCTGCCAGCCCCGGGCACAGGCAGGGTCCCCACGGGACTGGAGGGGCATCCCAGTGCCTGGATCAGTGCCACCATCCCTGCAAGAGCTACAGAAAACGGCTTAAAACACCCCCGTCAAACTCGACACTAATTCCACGGAGGTTTGGTCCCAGCGGGACTCTCCCCTTGGTTCTAACCTCTCTTCTCCCCTCTCCACCCCTGGGTCTTGCCCTGCCCGCCCGGGTCACACACGCCAAAACCCAGCCAAATCCAAGTAGGAAAAGTGGATTTTCCTTTTCTTTCTGAGCCAGGACTTGTAAAACCCTTCTTGGGTTAACACCCCCGATCCCCGCCTTTGCTGCGATGCTTTAGGGGATTTAGGGAGTCGCTGGGGCCAGCAGAGCAAAAGAAACCTCCACATCCCATTTTAGTTGCACTGGTTTAATCCTCGGCGACAGTTGTATTTATCCAGGTAAATCAATGGCTGATAGAGGGTTTTTTTTTCCCTAGGAAAACTCAGGTACTTTAATTTATTGCCTTTAACAGCCACATCAAAGGCTTTCGGGAGATGAACAGCAAGCGCCGCGGGGTGAATTTCCACAGCTACTTACCACCTTAAAGAGGAGAGAATTTGGGCAATAAAAGGGGATTTGAGGGCTGCTTTGGGGCTGTGATCCCAGAGAAGCCAGGCTGGATGCGCCCGATAAATACGGGAGAAGATAAAAAAAGGCAACTGAGAAATTGGTTGATAATTATTCTGCTTCCTGCACAGCCCCCCGTGCCGAAGGAGGGGTAATTAAAGCGTAGTGTAATTAATGTGCAACTTGCCCTTCCCCCCCGATCACGGCCAGCCTTCAAAGGAATACTGAGGTGACCAAGTTCAGCTGAGGAGGGAAGGATGAAAAGAAGGGGGGGAAAACAGCAAAATAAGGAGATTTTGAGGGTGTTACTTTGGCCAGGTGGTGCAGCTCTAACCCTCACCACGGTAAATAAATTCACTTTCTGCATCAGCCGAGCCTTTTTTTGTCCAAAACAGAGGGAAAAACAACCTGTAACCCAGGGAATCGCGAGGCTTTTTTTTTTTCCGGCTCCGCTGCTCTCCGACACCGCCCCGCTGGGGCATCCCCGGGCACAACCGGCTGATGACAACTTCCCTGTGCCGTGGGGCTGATGACGGGAGTGGGGCTCAGCCCACGTGGCGTGGGTGGTGGGGGGGACAGCCGGGGGCCGCCGGGTGCCAGGGGACGCTGACCCCCCACTCGCATCCTTTCCTAGATGGACAGGGGGGAGTTCCAGCAGGATTCGGTGCTGAAGCAGCTCGAGGTGCTCAAAGAGGAGGAGAAGGAGTTTCAAAACCTGAAGGTGAGTCAGGCCATGGGGACATGGCCCCACTCTGTCCCCAGCCCCATGAGGAGATGGGGCTCAGAGCCCCCCGGGTCATTCCTGGCAAAGGGTCTGCACGCCGGGGGGCCGGGCACAGCTCCCCGTGCCCACCCCCGGGCAGGACCAGCTCGTCCCTTGCCTGGCATTGCTGCTGCCAGGCTTTCTGTCCTTGGGCCATGTCCCCAGTGCTGGTCCATCCCAGAGGGCTGTCCCTGTGTGGGGAGGGATGCTTTGGTACCCCTGGCAGTGTTTCCTGGCCCCAGCACCGGGGGGATAACATAAAGGTGTGTGCCAGGAGAGGGCAGTGCAAGGGGCACCTGTGCCCCGATCTGGAGGGGGCTGAGCAGGGTGGGACACATTGGTGGCACGGGAGGACATTGCTGCTGCGGGTAAGAGGGGTTGGTGGTTGAGGGTGTCCTCCAAAGGGGGGCTCTGAGGATGGTGGAGGGTGTGGAGAAAAGACTGAGGGGAGACTCATCGGGGTCTGCAGCTTCCTCCCGAGGGGCAGCAGAGGGACAGCACCGATCTCTGTGACAGGACCCGAGGGAATGGCTGGAACTAGTTGGGGAGGGCTGCGTTGGATCCCAGGAAAAGG